TCAGGGTCACCCGTGGTGGACAGGGCTCAGCAGAGCTTCCAGACTAAGACAGACTCAGAAGAAGGAGGGGCCATCCACTTCTCAAGGAACTGGCCAGTGAAAACCTTATGAAGAGCAGTGAAATGCTGAAATGTTACTGGCAAACTCTGAATAGGCCTGAAACACTGTCTGATCAGTGCTGGAAGATGAGCCCCTCAGGTCGGAAGACTCTCAAAATACGACTGCGGAAGAGCTGCCTCCTCAAAGTTGAGTCGACCTTAATGATGTAGATGGAGTAAAGCTTTCAGGACCTCCGTCTGCTGATGGGGCAAGACTCAAAATGGGAAGAAACAACTATAACCATCCATTAATAACTGGAACATGGAACGTACAACATATGAGTCTAGGAAAACTGAAAGTTGTCAAAAATGAAGTGGAACATATAAAGATCGACATCCTAGGCATTAGTGAGCTGAAATGGACTGTTGTTGGGCATTTTGAATCAGACAACCACATGATCTACTGTGCCAGGAATGACAAACTGAAGAGGAATTGTGCGGCATTCATCAACACAAAGAATGTTTCAAGATCTATCCTGAAGTACAATGATGTTAGTACTTCATAGGATAATTCCATATGCCTATGAGGAAGATCAGTTAATACTACTACTATTCAAACTTACACACCAACCACTAAAGCCAAAGACGAGGAAATTGAAGATTTTTACCAACTTCTGCAGAGATTGACCAAGCATGCGACCCAGATGGGTTAATCATCACTGGGGATTAGAATGCAAACGTGTGAAATGAACAAGAATCACTGGTAGTTGGAAAATATGGTCTTGGTGATAAAAATGACGCTGGAGATTGCATGATAGAATTCTGTAAGACCAACAACTTAGTCATTGCAAATACCTTTCTTCAACAACACAAAAGGTGGCTATACACATGGACCTCACCAGATGGAGTACCCAGGAGTCAGACTGACTACATCTGTGCAGAGAGGTGATGGAGAAGCTCAGGATCTTCAGCCAAAACAAGGCCAGGACCGACTGTGGAACAGACCATCAACTCCTCATATGCAAGTTCAAGTTGAAGCTGAAGACAATTAAAACAAGTCCATGAGAGCCAAAATGTGACTTTGATTCTATCCCACCTGAAGAATAGATTTGATGCATTGAACACCAATGACCGAAAACCAGATGAATTGTGGGATGACATCAAGAATATCATACATGTAGAGCCTGGTGGAACTGCTGAGACTATGGCCCCTAGCTGCCCTTCAGGTCTGGAATTGAACCCACATCTGTGGTTTCCAGCCAAACAAAAGACGGGCATATGAGTTGAACATTTACCTGGGGTGGATACACTCCTTGGAGAGAACAATCATGGGAGCAAGAAGGGCTGCTTATGCACAGGGAGACAGCTCAGGGGGCAGGAGGGCATGGAGGGATGGACACTGGGGCCAATGTCATGAGACAAAGTGTATGTGAACTGCTGTACGGAAAGTAAATTTGCTCTGTAAATCTTCACCCAAATCACAATTAAAAA